CTTCATATTATATATGTAATTTTTTTCAAAAAATTTTATCCTTCAAAGAATCCTTAATATGATATGAACATAAAATAAAACTCTTAACGTAATATAAAAATCTTATTCAGAATTGCCATACGACATCTATGAATTTCAAAGGAGACGAACGGCGAATTTACGATTATCAAAAGATCGCGTGTCGAATTCGACGAATATCCGTTCGTCAGTTGGCCATCGTGCGGTGACGCAACGATTTAATTAACTTGGGGGACCGGAGAACCGGAGGAAACCTTGACCTCGCTCTCTCGCCTTCGTTTCTTAACATGGCCGTTGTTTTTGTTATCTGTCCGCCGACGATTCGATTCCTTTTCTCCAGCCCAGGCCACTTCAATTAAAATGAACAGCGCCTCGCTATTTTCGCGCTGGATATCGAGTATGATGATATTCGCGCAATGGGGAAGATTTTGTTCTGAGATGAAGATTGGCCTCGAAGAAGAATGCGATAATTTTTATGGCTTTTGCTCGATATAATTCATATTTTATTAATTTAAGTTGTTGATACTCGAAATGTTATGAAACGTAGGATATTTATTTCGAGCTGTGTATAGATTGCGTTAAAAGAATTTCATAATGTGTATATATATAAAAAATAAATTTAAAGATATTTGAATATTTGATTCTTTGAAATTTACTTTATTACTAAATTTATTTTAATATGTAGATTCTAAATCTAGTGTCTTTTGGAATTTTTTCAGTATATTAATTCAGTTATTCATAAATTTTAATTAACGTTGGATCTTGATTGATTTTATAATACGTTGAGAAAAATGTATTTCCTTGGCCTGTATGTACATATCTATATGTGTATGTCAATATGTATACGTGTGCTGATAAAAATTCAATTGCTGTAAACTATAAATGCTTATGTGCGTTCGACGAAGTATGTGAATTTCTTCGAGAAAATTTGAAAATCGTACCAGAAGATGTCGGTGAAGGTAAAACCTTCAGAGTTTTGTTTTTGAAAGTTATTTTTGCATTATTCGTCCATAATCTTTGTATAAAGACCAAAAAGATATTCAGAACACGAATAGACCTTGCTTTAATACGTTCGAATCGAATTTTCATTATCTTCAATGGTGTTATATATGCCAACATATGTATGCCTTTATATATGCTTATTAAATTTTCAGATTTCTAATTTACAAATAACGAAATATTAACATCAATTTATATTGTATACAATGAATATATTAAATCCATCAAATGGCATAAAAATAATCCTAGAATAATCCTAAAAATAATCCAGAAACATTAACCCCTGACCTTAAAAAATCCAAATCATAATTATGACATATATATTATTAAACATTATTCAATAATGTTGTATTTTAACAACATTCAATAAGAATCTCATATAATTTTTCAACATTTTATATTTATACGATAATTGATTTTAGAAGTAATCTTTAAAAAAAAAAAAATTAAAGAAGAAGATTTAAAATAAAAGAAAAATTAATAGGTAACCACCAAGCATTGACCTCACGATTCGAAAGTAGAAACCAAACTCCAGAGAAAGTATCAAGGTGAGATTTGAGAGCCACGGGTTCCGTCTGGAAGCTGGATATTAAAAAATGGCAAGACGTTTGCGGTCTCGGTATCGAATAGCTATTGAATGTGCCCCGTTTACGAGCCTCTACTCGTTATCTTGACCTAACAAGCGTTTTATTTATTCGCGGATACTAGATCAACGGTTCGTTGCCCCTGTTCTTCGATCGACCAATGACGATCGAGGCTACTCTACGACCAACGTTCATCGCTGCCAAAATGTAAGCTCGTTAAATTTGTAATATTTTCGTTTTGAACGCCTACGAATTTCTCATTTATCCAGTCGAAACACGTTTTCAAACTTTACTGACAACTTTGCCCCACTTTTTTCCTTTTTTCTTCCAGATGAGCCAATAATTGCTTTTTTACAAGTTTCATGGCTGCCTTGACTTTAATTTAGTCTCTGCGAAATTTTAATTTCGATGTATCTTGAAAATAAAAACTCTCAAATTTAATGCAACATTTGATCAATTATGTTGAATAAACAAAATTTATTTTAATTTGTCCAGAATATCCAAAAAATAAAAATAATTTGTTGTGGAAGGACATTATTTTCGATATTAGAATTTCAAAGTTCCTCGTTCTTTGAATGGAACTATACAATGTATTTTTATTTAATACGTGTAAGTTATTGAAAGATAAATCCATTGACCTATGATATATTGGTCTTCAAAGACTATTCAAGGTCATTTATCATTCAAAGTCTTCTTCGTTACGTACGCGTACACGTACAATTGAACTAATATTATTATTGAAAATGACCAATTTACAACTTATCATCGTTAATAAATTCTTTTATACAATAAATTTAACAAATATAAACATATAAAATTAAATATATATTATAAATCACAAATCAGTATTTTACTCTACTCTAATAAAATTATATTATCAATTTATATTTATATATAAAACCTTTAGAGAGCAAAACCTATAGAGCAAAAGTTCTCTAATCTAGAACTGGTTCACGATAATTTGAGTTGATAAACTAATGTTAAATATATATATTAAATCTACAACACAAAAAACTTTCTTTAAAAGAAAGAAAAGAATTTGAAAAAAAATTTTTCGAATGATTTAAAATTTAATTACGAAGCAATTATAATTGAACACTTTAGATAATTGAACATACTGCACCAAACATTCGAATAAATTCGCTAAACACGTGTAATTTTATCCACCTATCTACTACGTAGATAGTTATGTAAAGAGACACTCTATAATTCTAATCAGCACATTTTTGATCATGTCAAATAAATGTTTCGATACCAGAGATATCGGCCATGAAAGCTATATTGGCAATCAATTTTTCGATTTGTAATACATAATGATTATCAATTTTTTTTAAATTAAAGTTATTAATCTACGAAAAAGATGCATGTGCCATTATTCGTGCCATTATTCGATACGTCATCGATTTTTTTTAAATGGCTTAGTTCGATATGTTCGTTTCTTATAAATTCTTGGATTCGTTTGTTTCAAATTTGAAACGAACTAATGATTTCCTTCCCTTATTCAATCTCTGATTATTTCACGTTCTCGTTACGACGAAAAGTCGTTCGAAAGCGTCTTCTTTCCACGTTTTCTGCGGTTTCGTAGGCGTTGATCTGGTTGCTCGCGAACGCGTGTCGCTCTTGAGAAAAGTTCCACGAGGTCCCCATGAGGGAATTGCTAATACGGTACTTAACAAGCGGCGAATAACTATTGATCGCAGAGAAAGTCGGGTTCTTCGTCCACGTTGTTTCGTTACTCCTGAAAGAAGCTTTGAGACTCATTCGAGAATAAGAAAAAAATAGAAATAAAATAGAATTTGAACGATTGAAATTTGATCTATAATTGTTGATTGATTAAATTTTAGTGATATTGTGCAAATGACTAACTACAGAACGCGAATCAGAATGAAATTTTCGCGTTTAAAAAATACATCGAAAAAACGTATCTCTCGATAACGAAGATTTGAGTTAATTTAATTTCGTGATCAAAACTTGATTTGAATTAACATTAGACAAGAATGAAAATTGCTCGTACATTACAGAGTTACATACAGAGATGTATCTAAACTTGACTTAGGTTAGAATTAGTCACGAATTAGACACGGATCAGGCATGGATTGGTCGCATACATATTCAAAGACGTATCTTGGAGACAAAGATTTCAGGTTTGGATTAGATTGGTCCTTTGCATATTCAACGACGTGTCTCGGTGACAAAGATTTGGTCGACTAGGGGAATTAATCGATTTCGTGGCGCACGCTTCGTAGACGATTGTCAATATGAGAAAGAGGAAAAAGGACCTAGACGTGTCGCGTTGCTTCTTTCAGATGGATGAGTAATGAATCGCCATTGCGGATCTGGGTCACCGCGTAATTTTATAATTTTCCCGACGAGTGATCGATCATCATCGCCGGAGGACATTAGCCGTCGCGTCTAACTATAGGAGTAACGATAAAACTCGTTTAAGTGTAAATAAATCTTATTCGAATATTTAAATTCCGTTGAGAAGTAATTGTGTCAACAACAAGGAACAATTCATCGAGAAATAAAATAGAATAGATAATAAACCATCCATAATTACATAATATCTGTAAACAATTTAAAAATCGCGAAATGATGATATTTTTCTTCTCACGATGAATTTTATAAATGCTTTTATTGTTATCGTTATATGTATCTTACCTAGTATTGACCGGTGCTTGCAGCGTGCTAAATAAAGTCAGGGATCTTTCTAGTAGCGACAGAAGTTCGTGGAATTCGTGAAAGGGAGTGGAAACTATTTTTCCATTGGATCAAAACGAGTCGCGAATGCTATCTAAAGAAAACTCGGAAACGAGATAGCGTGAGAGGATTAATCGCAATGACAATTCCTATATAATGAAAAAAGTGATTCACGAGGTTATATAAATTTATTTTCACTTATCATTAAATGAGCGATCGTCATTCTGCGATTTTGTAAATTCCATTAAGTATCCATAAAGTATCCTTTTAAATCTATTAGACGCCTCTTTCAATTGCTTCAGTAATTTACAACATTTTTTATTTGCAAAGGAATATTAAAATAAAAATGTTCTTTGACTCGTGTTAAATAAAATATTTTCTTTGCATGGTAGATAATTCTCTCAACATCGTTCAATTTCCGATAATTCCATTTCATGAATATAAAATTCTCTTAGGATGCAAATCAATACCAAAGAGAATTCAACTCCATTTGTTAATTTTCTATTAGAAAGATAAAAAAAATTTTAAAATATATCCTTATATCGATTACAATCTTCGAGCAATTCCTTTAAAAAATGGACAACCAATCATTCCATCGCATCGCAAAATCAAACACATCCTGAAATGCATCAGCTACCCCTTCCACCTAAATCGAAATCACGTCGTACAAAGAGTAGAAATCGAGGAAACAAACAATACCTTTAATCTCAGCGATGTGTGCATCGTACTCGCTCTTACTGCGCACATATTCGATTCTGGTGGCGACGTTGTGGAAGCTCTGAGTACGATATTCCGCGTACCACTCGGACGGCGTTCGATCGTCCAGATGCTGGTGAGGGCTACTGCCCCTCCTATGCGACAAACTCTCCTCCGATGGAAATCTCGTGAACGACGTGACAGAGCTCGACTTACTCCCGTGATTCGGTGCACCGTGGCTGTGACTCTGGTAGGCCGAGTCCTCGAGGGCGTGTTCCTCGCTAGGCGTCCTGCTCGATTCGGCGAGAGAAGCACGGGTCGACGCACCACCGGTCCCGATCTCTCTCACGCTCTTCCTTACCGTGATCTTCTCGAACTTCACCACCTTCGAACCGTTCAATTCGCCCTCCTCCACCAACCGTTCGAAACTCTCCTCGAACGACGAGTCGCTAGCTCTGGACGATGGCCTGGAACCGGGTCTAGGATTCGTGGGCGACCTGTACTGACCCGCATTCCGCCTTCCCTCCTTGTCCTCGAACAACTCCACGAAAAAGTTGACCCTATCCCGGAGCCGACCTCCACGTGGCGTGCTCGGGCTGCCAGGGCTGGCCCGGCTGCCGGCAGGACTCGCGCTCTTCGGTGGTGTCTCCGACATGATTCGCCGCCAGCTCGCAGCTGCCGCGTCTCACCTCGTGCCGTCCCTCGCTGATGTTGCTCACGCGAGTCTTCGCTCCGGGCTAGCCAGCCCGAAAATTCATGCTGCCGTAACCGCACCGGCTTCGTACTACGTTTCCGGCTTCTCCTCGTTTCACGGTCGAGCTGCGCTCGTGGACACCTGTTCTCCGTACACCACACCCTGCTACAGCCACCACCATGTACATCGGCAGCAACCGCTGCGCCTCTCTCTCTCTCTCGTCGTCTCGCCAACGAGACCCGAAAAAAACGTCAAACCACGACACTTCTCTTTCTTCCTCCTTTATTCCCTCCTCCTCGTATCGCGGCCCCCGTGGCCAGCACGCGCTACTCCCTCACGATTTCTCCTCACAAACACACGGATACACGTTGTGCGTTAAACTCGATCGTTACGTACCTAGTCTAGTTACCACGTACGAACGACACACGCACGCACATATCGGCCTGTTCGCGACGACTGTCTAGATGTGCGATACGCGTCTACCGCTCACGGAATGCACTCCGGCCGCGCACCACGGCCGCCGGTTCGATATTGGTGCCTCTCTTCCCGACCTCTCGCCGGGTCCCCACCTCGTTCCTCCGTTCCGTGTGCCCTCCGTGCCCTCCTATACCCCCCTGCCTACCCTCCTCCCTGCCTGCGACCCGCATTGCACGCTCACGAGGACGTCCACCACGAGTTACGACTAACCGGCGCGACATCCACCAAGAGGAGGACGCGTCATGATGACGAAGGTCCGTGACGATGCCGGGGACCATGCGCCGACTTATGTCGTCGTCGCCGTCGTGTCGTGGTGGTCGTCGACGCCCTACCTGCCTCTCTGCTATTTCTTTCTTCTCTCTCTCGCTCGCTCGTACCTAACCTCCCTGACACCGATCGATGCTTTTATCCTGCGTCCTTCTCCTCCGCAGCCGGCTAAATGTCACTTCTCGCGCCACCGTTTGAACGAGGCCTTATAGCGTATTCCGGTATTCCGCGTATACAATGGATCGGGACACGTTTCTTCGATTGGTATGACGAAGGGGGCAAAATTTAGCGAGGAAATTAGGATTATTGGAGATCGTGGAGAGCTTTCGTGAAAGGGATGAGCTCGAGTGGATTCAAGTTCGAGGAGCAAGTTTCTGTAAGTAGATTGTAATATTTCTGTTAATGAGTTTTGAATGAAGATTACGAGAAAAGAACACGATAAGTATATACTTTTTTAGAAGGAGTGGTTTTATATATTGGATATTTTGTGAAAATTGTCTTACTCGATGGTTGGGATTAGATGTAAATTTTTTAAAGATATCGATTTTTACTATGTTAAGTATTCTGTGAGTAAGTTCTATATTCTCTGTTACGTAGTTTCATATCACGAGTATATTAAAAAACTCAAAATTCGACTAATATTCGATAAATTGAAGGCTTTTTCTTTGAACTTATCTTATCATGATTTTTTTAGAATAATTTTTGTTTATTTATATATTAATATGATAATATATATTAATATGATAATATGATAATAAAATTTTATCATATAATAATAAAAAAAAGAATGACACGGATCAATATATTCATTTTGGAAAGTATCAGTTTTAAGATTATATAATTGCCTAAGTATCCAAATTAATCGAAATTATTCTAACATAAAAGCAACATCGCATATTATATCAACAAAATTCATGAAAAGTTACAAAATTGTTTGTTATAATACATCCATTTTGACTGAAATATAATAAGAATTTTGAAATAATATATTGAAATATACTCTCAAAATTTAAAATATTGCAATTCCATTTCCTTCCTTTCCATAAGATAGCATTAAATATTTATAGCAAGGCTAGGTATATCTCTACGTTACGTAATAAAAAAAGGATAAAAGAATGTCTAGATGACGTAACTATAAGAACTCTCCATATATCTCAAGATATAAAATATAATTATACGAATTTTTGGATTTATAAAAGCTTTTTTATATTTTTAATAAAAACAAATTTCTTATGTGAAATACTTGATTCTAAAAATCGACAAAATTAAATTAATAATTAACCCAGACATTTAGATTTACATTGCGTCAACAAATGATCTAATGATTATCGATAATGAGCGGATGTTTTGTACATATCACTTGCCAAAAAGTTGTTGGCACTTTTGCAACCACTATCAGTGAAACATTAAAGTGTTACTTGTGCTATTACGAATTGCAACGAAACATTCTATTTCTTTCGATGACGAGATCGATAATTTACGTTATTTCTTTTTCTTTACTCTCATTTTCAGATAAAAGAAGAAAAGTGAAAGACGTCATCATCATCAACGAGATATCTAAATGCATTTCCAAGAGGAAAAACAAAGAAGACGTCTATGCGACGTTAATCGTCTCAAGAATTATTGATTAAAACGAGAAATTTAATATTGAAAGAGTAAAATTGAGAATTGTGATAAATATTTGATAAAACTATTACTATAACCTTTTTAATGTTATTAACGATTCAATTAAAAATGATGTTCTCTTCTTAACATCTTCAATTATCCATATTATATCTTCTGGTATAATAAAAATATCTTTAAAAAAATGAAGAATAGAATAATTCAAGTAAAAATAAATTTCGAAAAAACATTTCATACAGCGATATCGTTGATCGAACATTGTAAGAAATGGCGCATGTTTTATCGGCAGTTCTACGAAACAGTGACGCGTTATCCATATATCATTGTTACGTAATATATGTGATAATCGTAACTAGTAAACAAAACAATGAAATTCGATATTTGGCGAATGCTTTTCGAATGTTATCGTTCGATCACATAACACGAATATGAACACAAATAAAATTATTTTTATTTTCATTTCATTCATGTAATTATATTAAAAATTATATTTCATCGTGTATTTGTATTTTTTGGATCTTTAAACATTGTTAATTACTCGTCAACTCTGCATTATATCTTGATAATATCTGTTTTTTTGGACGAAGTAATTTTTAAAAATTAATTAGAATATAATATCAAGAATTTTCAGTCACGTTATATCGTTATCAAGACTTTTTACAACTTGAGCCGAATGTAAAGAAATATTTTTTTGACATACGTATCTGTACAAGTTTTGCAATATATATTGATAATTAAGGATTATGTTTGAGACATTAAGCTCTATTTATATCGAGAATTCTTTGTCGTTTTATCTGTGACAAACAAACGTGCGTTCGATACTAAATCACATATATGTCGTTGATAAAATTACTTTCTCCGATTTCTGTGAATTATTTAACAAATAGTTTCGATGACTAATTGGAATATTGAACACCGAATGCTGAACACGATTCTGAATACAAATTAGAGGAGCGCGCATGCTTCATTTAAATACGCGGTTTCAAATATTTATGACATCGTCTATGGGTCGTTTCAAAAGCGGATACACAGGACAGGATCACAAATCATCGAAAATATCATCGTCTTCCCAATTAAATCTTTCAGCATCGCTGCTTGTTTATGTAACAGTTTATTTGCAATTTCTTTTTTGCAATCAATTTACATGATTGATTCTTATTCTATTATAATGTGATTTGAGACAGAGAATTTTATGAATCTGCTTAATATTTTCTTCTCCCAGAGAAGATCCTGTAATTTTTTATACGTTCGACAATTAATAGAACATATTGGTCAAAGTATCAAGATATTAAAATAATAAAATACCAAAGTATCGAAACATTATTCTCGTATCGAAAATTCTCAAATAATTGGAATATCTAAAATTAAATACGAATCGAATTATGAATTCGAATTCTTTGACATTTCGAAATCTTAATTCTTGGAGAAACATTCTTCCTACGATACGTATTTTAACGTAAACATAAAAACATATTCCTCGATCTACCGTAAAAAACTGGCTCGAAGGCAATTTGCATACGAATCGAAACTTTTGAATTTGTGAAATTTTCCTCTCGACGATCAATCGATCGTTCGATCACGCGTATATACGTGTGATTCGCATACTTATCTGTGGAACCGTGCAAGAGAAATAGATGACGATGGCTCGCCTATTTATAAGTGTGACGGAGGCACCTGCCTCCGTTAGTTCACGATAGCCGCCATTGAAATTTTTCTATTTTTCTCGCAAAAATTCGAATCAATCGAAATATTTTTTAAAGACAAATCGCTAGTATCACGATCGAGAAGGACTCTCGAGATCTTTCTCTAGAAACGTGTAGTTTTCGGAGACTTGAATGATTTGTGAATGAAATCCATACTCCGGTCCTCTGTTGGCACGCGATGTGTTTTGACGATATTACGTGATGCGATTCTACCCAATTGTTTATTGCTTGCTCCAGAAAGTAATTTATTTTTGAACACGTTTCTTATATTTTGGGAAGTTCTCTATCATTTGAATTATACGAATGTTCGAATATAACGAGGGAAATCTATTTTATTCGTTTGTGAATACGATTTTATTATAATTTTATTATCGTATAATTAATTATGTGTATCTAAGAGAAAATATATGTATGTAAACGAGAAAATATTTTTTTAAGAGAAAATATTTCTTTTCGATCGGAAATTAAATATTCTTTGTGATGGATTTATGGTGAATTATTCAAAATGTTCAACATTATTGTTTTAGTAATATGAAAAATAATGAGCAAATTCCGATATAAAGTGAAGTTTCTATACTGTAATAATGAAAAAAAAAAAAAAAAAAAAAAAAATGAAGTTTTTATATCTCTGACCGAGTAGCTGAAAATAGTATTTTGTAAATATTGCATTCATTCATAATGTTATAATATAAAGAAACAAAAAACAATACAAATCGCGAATATGATTTATCATTTTAAGCCATCGGAAAGAGAAATAACTCGGCATTATTTAAGAAGTTTAGTATTTCTTTAAACATATATCATAGTTCTTTTTTTTTTTTTTTTTTTTGCAGCAGATCGTATATCTATCAGTTAGACCGTCATTATTATTTAAATACAATTCACGGTCGATGATGGTTATATTTCTTAGAAATTCATTTGTCTATTATTTAACGCACGAATAAATTTTATTTATTTCTCAAACGTTGGCCAATATCCACTTTTGTTGAAGTTTAAAACTGTGAGACAAGAAAAGATAATATGTGTAAATAAATATTTTTAAATTCAATAAAATATCCGTATAAGAATTGATTATAAAAAAGTTGAAAATTGTGCAATCAATACATGTTTCCCCATTTGTGGAAGACGGAATAATAAATATCATTCGAATAAATTATCGATTTCTTACTAATTATTTTATTTGCATATATAAAGATATATATTTTGCATAATAAATCCGCAAGAATCAGTTTTTGTTTAATCCTATTGATGCACGAAGAAAATTAAATTATAAATTCGAAAATACCAAGGAATATCGGTGTTGATCGACTTTATAGGTTTGGTTTGTCTGAATACAATGTTTCTCAACTGGCAGACCGACATTCATTGATTTCGTGCTTGCCAGAAGTATCATCTAACCGCATTCGAAACATCGGTTTCTGATTCGTTATCGTCAATGT